CATGTAAGATGCAAGATGTCTTGTATACGTACAGAAAACTGTCAAAGAATAAATTAAAAATTATGTTTTTTAAAAACAATTTATTGCCAGGCGTGGTGGCGCACGCCTTTAATCCCAGCACTCAGGAGGCAGAGGCAGGCAGATCTCTGTGAGACTGAGGTCAGTCTGGTCTACATAGTGAATTCCAGGTCAGCTGGGGCTGCAGGGAGACCCTGTCCCAATAAGACACACACACACAAAAATTATTCTAAAAGGAATTTGTTGTTACAGGTTGTGTTTTTGACTTACTTATATTTCTACCATGAGTGCATACCTGGTATAACTTCTAATTCTTCTCAAGTAGGAGGCCCACCTGGCATTTCCTTTGTCCCTCCCAGTACCAACACCATCCACTCACGGCAGGGCCTTGTTATGCAGTTGCCCTGGCCAGAAGCCTCTGCAGCCCCCATACCTGGTGTACTTCTGAAAGGCGATTTCCTGCGGTGCTGACAGGGGCAGGATGACCAGCACGGAGAGCAGGGGCAGGGTGAAGTGCTGTGCAGCGTACCAAGGCTGTGGGACCTCGGGCAGGAGGGAGTCACACACTGGTGAAGATGGGGACAAGAGCTGGGTCAGGGAGCACAGAGCAGCCACAGGGTACAGACAGATGAGCTGGGGGCTAAGTTAGCCTGAGGGCAGGTGAGATGGGGCCCTGTCTGTTCTCTTGAAAGGGGGAACCCCACATTTCATAAAGTCATTCAACAAGCACACCGGAGCTCCCTCTGCTGCACTGAGAGCTGTTGACTCGCACACCCAGTGGCTGACCAGAGTCAAATGGGGCTCAGGCTGCAGCGCTGATGTGGAGTATCACCTTTGTCCTTGCTGTGTCTCTACTGCTGCTGAACAGTCCCACACTGCAAAGCTTGGCCGCAGAACACAGAAACGTGGAGCTGATCTAAGAGACAGGATGGGTAGGGGAGGGAAGCAAGGAAGCAGGCCACAGCCTGAAGCTAAAATGACCCAGACCCAAGGCGAGGTGGTCCCTGCAATCCCACTGGATGGGGGTCAGGCTGGCAGCATCCAGGGTCGCTTGCATCGCAGGGAGCAAGACTCTTTTGCTCTGTCAAACAATAATCACACCCTGGGAAAGAAATGGCTGCCTTGTGAGAATAGTTCCTCCAGTAGGGTGAGGCCAAGGAAAGTGCCCCAGCTCGGCCACTGAGCAGAGGTCCCAGCAGAGGGATTGTGGGGGGGCGGGGGCGGCAGAGCCACCTCTGAGACAGACACTAAGAGGATGGAGGTCACTGGTGGGTTTCAGACTTCTCCTGGGGTAGGGTACAAGCCCTGCCTCCCTGGAATCACTTGCAGCCAGAATTCCAGCTGAGACATGTGACATCAGGACACCACCACTCCTTCCTAAACCTGAAATGTCTAGCCATCCCATGAGGTAGTCAGCAACCATGAGGTCATTTGTACCCAACTCATGTGGCAACTGCCCAAACTCTGTTAGGCTTGTCGTCCTCCAAGGACAGACAAATGCCCAATGACCAGACCAGAAAGATGCGAGCAAGCTCTCTCCATCCCAGTCAGTCCACTGAGACCTGGGGTGGCTCAGAGCCTAGTCAGGACTCTGAGCACCGTGCAGCAACCTGGAGACTCCAGCTCCCCAACACAGTGCCCCTTGCTGGAACTGAGGGTTGACAGGAGCTTGCCACTGGTAGGTAGGGCGATCTGTGACTGTTTATTCTCTGTGAGATTCAAAGATACCAACCTCCATGCTTTTGGGTATAAGAGATTGTTTTGGGATTCCAAAATCCCACAGCGAGGGACCTCTTCATGCATGGGTCAGGAGAGATGAAAGCAAACCGCACGACTGGACTCTAACCCTATCAACAACGTGTTCCAATTAAGCCTAACGTTCCAATTAAAATCTGAAGTTGTCAAGATGATTTTAAAAACCCCACAAGATTCAAACATATGCTGTCTACAAGGAATGCTTTAAAAATCCAAACCATAGCTAGCTTCAAAGTAAAAGACTAGGAAGAGCACCCATGAACGCTGATCTTAAGGAAGCTAAGACAAGTCTATTTAAAAAGCAGAAAAGGTGGACTTCATGCCAGGGATAAAGCAGAACATTTTGTAATAATGAAAGAAGGCACCTGATCACAGGCTCCAACAGCCATGGGTTGTGGAATTAAAGGGTAAAGTAGGCACATCTGCAGTCACAGTTGAAGGTGTCAACAGGCTCTTAGAGAGCACCAGACTAACCAGGACATTTAAGTCAGCAAAGATGGGCTAGGGATACAGTTGTTGGTGGAGTATTTGCTGAACACTCAGGAAACCCCTGTCCCTCCCCAGCACTGAATACACTGGGCATGGTGCATGCCTGTAATCCCAGAACTCAGGAGGTAGAGGCACAGGGCTAGAGAAATGGCTTAGGTTCCAGAGGCTCTGAGCTTGGTTTCCAGCACCCATGTTGGGTGGCTCACAACTGCTCCAGGGGGATCCATCCCCTCTGGTCTCTGAGGACGCCTACACCCATATGCACATACCTGCCCCCCCCATTAAAAAAATAAAAGGGGCTGGAAAGAAGGCTGTTCTCGCAGAAGACCCAAGTTCAGTTCCCAATACCCACATGGTGGCTCATAACTATAATTCCAGTTCCAGGGGATCCAACACCCACTTCAAGCCTCAATGGACACTGTATGCATGTGGTGCACATACATACATGCAGGCAAAAATCTCATACACATAAAATAAATATAAATAATAATACTAAAATCTTTTATTTTAAGGAGGTGGACAGGGGCTGGAGAGATGGCTCAGAGGTTAAGAGTACTGGCTGCCCTTGTAGAAGACCTGGATTCAATTCCCAACACCCACACAGAGGCTAACAACCATCCTAATTCCAGTTCCAGGGGATCCAAAGTCCTCTTCTGACTTCCATGGGCATTGCACGGCATGGGTGCACCTATATACATGCCAGCAATACACTCATACACATAAGATAAAAACAATTTTTTAAAAAGAGAGAGCATGAGCTATGTTTCCCCACTTTTTAGATATCACCATATCACGATTTATCATACTGGGTCTTAGGCAAAAGAGCACCTTCAGATAATCCCCTGGAACTGGAGTTAAGGACGGTTCGTACCTGCCATGTGGGTGCTGGGAATCGAACCCAGGTCCTCCACAAGAGCAGTCAGTGCTCTTAACCGCTGAGCCACCTCTCCAGCCCCACTATAAATTTTTTTTTAAGAAGGTGGATAGCAAGGTAAGCCCACCCTGACTATGTGAGACCCTGTCTCAAAACAGATCAACACAGAATGCTCACCAAGACTGACCACATTTTGGACCACACAGTAAGTCTCAACAGGTCTCAAAAGATTGAAATGACATAAGAGGATACTTTCTGTCTGTGGTAGAATTAAGACAGAAAGCAAGAAGGGATCTGAACTCCCAAATGGAAACTGAACAAGATGTGGATGTCTCATGTCAGGCCAGAACACACAGCACATTAGTAAATACATTGCCAGGCACGAAAATAAAATCAGAGCAGAAAGCTGGCCGGGTGCGGATATGGCAGTGTTTCCAGAACGATGGAGAAGAGGACGAGAGGCCAAGACTGGATGAGGGCTGAGTCCCACCCGTCCCCGGTGAGAGCTGTACCGGGACGTCTCAGGAGGCCCTTTCTGCAGTGGGCTCCATGCCCCGTCTTGCTTCCACTAGACTTTGCAACTGCAGCCACAGTCTCTCATGGCCTCTTGACTGCTGTCTTGCTGGTGTGCTTTCATTTGTCCCCCTTTCCCACTGTGTTGGGCCCTCACAACATGTGAGGCTTTACCGCTGCTATCCTGGGGGCCCATCCAGTGCCTACTGTCCTGCTTATCACCTGGGGACTCAGGAGTCATTACAGGCGCTGTACCCTGGGTTACCCCAGTATCAGGAAGGTACTTACACTTTTCTAGCTGGTCCCCAATCACCCTGAGGAAGGCCACCGAAATCATGAGCAGGTTGATCAGGAAGCAGGCCTCGCATAGCTTCCCAATGGCAGGTCCACACAATTCACGCACCACACCCTGGTAGGTGGTCTGGCCGCTGACAGAGGCTGCATAACCCAGGATGACCAGTCCAGTGATCAGGAAGACCAAAGCAACCTGCAGAGGGGAGTGTGGGGCTATGTGTACTAGTGACACAACCCAAGGGTTGGCTGGTCCAGGTGTGCCCCCCCCACCCCCAGCCTCTGCAATGATCAGAGCCTGGTGCACAGCCTGGGCTCCCACTAGAGGGGCCAGGACCCATTCTGCCCCAGGTCAGAGCTGCAGGGCAGGTGGATGCTGACGGCCTCTCTGGTTCTGTGTCTGAGTCTGGGGTTCTGGCCGTTTTCTATTGCTATAGGATAGATGAAACTTCACAAATTGAGGCTGGAGAGATGGCTCAGCAGTTAAGAGCACTGAATGCTCTTGCAGAGGACTGGGTTCAATCCCCAGCACCCACATGGCAGCCAACAACTATCTGTAACTCCAGCTCCAGGGGATCTGACGTAGTTCTTCTGGCCTCCATGGGCATTACACAACACAGATGTACTTAGATACATGCAGGCAAAACACTCATACACATAAAATAATATTTTAAAAAACCTTCACAAATCCAGAGAGCTGAAATTGCTCCCCTAATGTTGCCTCAAAACACGGCTACAAGCGTGGTGGGGAAGAGGGTGTCTGGGCTCATCTACTGTGTGCTGTGAAGCAAATCCCTTAGCCTCTGCCTATGAGCTGGGGATAGCCCCACCCACTTCGCAGGCGTGCTAGGGGGCCAGTGGGCCTGAACACGGCAGCTGATGCTTTCTGCTTGGTGTCAGGCCCAAGAGGGTTCTCTGTAAGTCGGTGGCAGGTGGGGGTGCCCTTCCAACTGTCCTCTGGGGCTCCCACAGCATCAGCTTGTATTTCTTCAACACTGATTGTTAACACTTTTCACACATCCACAAGAGTTGGGACACTGCAGTTGTAAGCCATCCCTGAATGAAAGGTGTTACTGGGAATCTCCCAGTAGGGTCTTCTTGCAATTGGTTCAATTTCCACATCTTATGAAATGCATTGTCACCACTACACATTCTAACTGCCGCCAGGGTCTTGTGGCCTCATGACTCTTGCTGGTGAGCTGATTTCCCACAATCCACCCTCAAACAGGCTCCTGGTATCACCTGTGTCTGCGCTTCACAGTGCGGCATTGACCATCTGAGTTTGCAGGGTGCGTGAGCTGGCTGCTGGTGTTGTGATTCCCCAGAATGCTCTGGGGTGTCCACTGCTAATGACAGCTCGGGGGTCTGTGCAGTCTTCCCTCATGGGCTGAACATACACAAAATGAGCTGCAGAGACGCTTGTATAGTACTAGATAGTGCAGTGTGTGTGTGTGTGTGTGTGTGTGTGTGCGTGCATGTGCATGCGTGTGTGCGTGCACACGCATGCACACACAAGTCAAACCCGTCACCACATCTAGTATTATTCCACTCATGGGCTCCCATATTGGCTTTTCCAAGCACAGCGCTGAGAGGTACATCAGTGCTATGCGCACCTGCAGCTTGTAACTTCTTCCCCACGTGCTCTTCAGAGATGATCACATCCTAATCCTCAGAGCCTGTGGAGGAGTTAGGTGGGACAGTTCTTGCCGGTGTCCCACCAATAGCAGCAAGACATCTTCCTTCAGGAGCAGAAGCTGGAAAGAGGGCCCAGCTGCCTTGGGAAGGCAGCGGCTCTGCAGGTACAAGCCTAAGGGTTCCACCTGGAAAAGCCAGTTACCTCCCACCTGTGCCCAACACCCTATGGTATTTCAAGACTCACCAGCGCCACCAGGAAGGTGGGCACCACACCGCCTGCCTTGTGGAAGGCCCAGGGAAAGTTGAGCAGGCCGGCACCCAGTGCAGACTTCAGGAGAATGAACACGGCACCCAGCGAGGATAGGGTGGGGTTGGCGGCAGCAGTGAGGGGCTTGTCCAGGAGGCCTTTGCTCCCTCTGGTCTGTCCCTCCATGGCCAGCTGGGGCAGCAGCGGGACGGAGAGGAAAGGCTGGATTCACACGTCTTCCTTTCCCAAGCTCCAGGCTCCAGGCTCATGGCCAGGCAGCATGAGCCAGGGCAGATAAGGCACCCCACCCCACCCCCACCCCCCTTGGCCTCCTTTTACCCTTTCCCAGGAGGGTTGTATTCATTTGCCCTGTGATGCCCCATTTATTCTCCCGAGTCCTCCCTCCTTCCCCTTTTCTTCTGAACCTCTGGCCTTGTCTTCCCCTGGGTGCTCAATCCCCGTTCTCTACCCACAACTGTGCCTCCAAACGTCAGCTCCCACAGGGCCCAGAGCCCTAATCCTTACCAAACCCCCAATGCTCAGATGCCCAGTTCCGGGCTACCAGGCGAGCTCAGGCGTCCTCCAGGTGCTTCGGCTGCATAGCTGGGTCCGAGGAGTGGGCGGGAGGAAAGTCTAGCCCTGCACAGATGTGCTAATGAGCATTTATTAAGGGAGCTCTAGAGGCCATCTGTTGGGGTCATGGTCCAAAGTCTACTGGGACAGAGATGAACGGCCAAGGCCACCTGTCCCAAGTTTCTAATTGTGGAATTCCGTCCTGATCTGGGTGACCTAATATGTGGGACTTGTGCAGGCCCCTCCCTGGGGTGGGGCTTTCTCTCCACAGCCTGTGGGACACAGCTCAGCTGGGATCCATCCAGGCCAGGCCCACCAGCTAATCCCACCCCCGGCAGCTCCAGAGTCAGCTTCTTCCGTCTCTGCCTTCGGCACCCCTCACAGTACCCCGGTTTAGGTGGTGGAGGGCTCTGGGCTGAGCTGTTTACTCGGGGTCTCTGGGCAGTGTGGCACTCACTCAGCCCCAAGGTCAGCAGACACTGTCAGTTTCCTCTCACTTCCTGATCCTTCGGGTAGTGAGAGCTGTTCAAATGAACCCTGGCTTCCGCTACACCTGGGCCTTGTTGAAAGGCAGATGATTGCCCCTACCTTCTAGAGAGCTCCGGGAGGCTGCAAGTCAGGGCCATACTGAGTACATCGCTGAAGCAATGCTTGGGCAGCTAACCTGGCCCCACACGTCAAGATCAAACCTAGAATTTGCATCTGCTTGTTGTAGGAAGCCAGGCCCCCTCCTGCTTCAGTTCAGACAGCAGGCTGCACCAGGATCCCCTGGAGGACTTGTGCAGAGAGGTGACCAAGTCATCCATCCCCTGAATTTCTGCCTCAGTGGGCCTGGGGTGGGCCGGAGAATCTACCTGACTGTCTAGCTCGTCTCCTGCTGTTGGCCCAGGGACCCCCACTGAGAACTGCTGCTTTAAGTGAAACAACCTCCAGACCCTGAGCCAGTCCATCCCATCAGCCTGTCAGGGATGGCCCCCAAAGGGCTGTTTCCTCTGCGTTTCTAACATCTCAACCGATGCAGTGACCTCGAGGCTCTGCACCATAGATGCTCACTAAATGCCTGCCAGCGTCTTGGCAGGAAGGCCCTGAGAGGCTGTGGTGCCATCTGCTGCCTGCCCTGTGCTAACAAGAGTCAGCACACAGGAAGTAGTGAAGGAAGGAGAGGAGAAGGAAGTGAGAAAGGGGGGGTGTCCAGAAAAACAAGAAAGTCACTTGGTCTCCTGTGTTGACTTCCTGGGGCAGCTGTAACTGGGTGCTGCCAACTTGGTAACTTGAAGTAACAGCTACATTCTCATCCCAGAGGCTCAGGGCTGAGACCAGCGTGTGGTAGGGCAGTTCTCCCTCAGCAGGATCTGGGGGAGGCTCCTGGCCTTTCCCAGGGGCTGGTGCCTGCCGGTCCATCTCCATGGCTGCTGGGATGTCACCCCCATCTCTGACCATTTTCACATGGGAGTCCCCTGTGCCACGGCTCCCAGGAAGGCCTGGGGTCTGTGGTCCATGTCCAGGCCGACCTGGACAAGCCTTTCTACTCCATGTGGAGTCAGGGTATTAAGCCTGTGGAAGATGGTGCTGGATATTGGGTGGGGCGGGGGTGGTAGGGCCAGTGTGGGAGTCTGGGGTGGCAGGAAGGTGGGTCCCCCATAGTAGCATATGGTATTTACTGAGGTGACACAGTGCCTTCTGAGCAGACAAGAGGCGCAACCTTTCACCACACCCGGCCTCCTAAGAAAAAAGCTAGTGTTTGGCTAAGGCCCAGGGCTAAGGCTTCAGCAGTCCAGCCTTTGTACTTCTTTATCAGCTTAGGGGCCAGGGCGCTCCCGTCTCTCCCAGGGTCTCTCATCAGCAGCCCATTAGTGTGCATGACTTAGAAATTGGCCAGTGGGCTGTGAAATCCCAGCACCAGGAAAATCTCTTAATTCTGTGGGGCTCTGATATCCTGCCTCTGCTGGTCTCCCAGGGCTGTGTGACCTTTCCCTCCGATGGAGGGGCACCTGTGCAGCTCCATTTGCAGCCAAGGGCAGATGGGTGGCCACCCGGCAGTCGGGCCCATAGTGTCGGTGCAGAGCAGGAGCAAGGAGGCGCGCAGAGGTGCCTGGGGAATTATCCGGGTGCTGGCTCACACAGCACCACCCCAGAGCACTCATGCCCAGCCCTTCCCTCTTCACTCAGCCCTGCCGAGCCAACCTGTTCACCAGGGACTTCCTAAGGGCTGCTCCTTCCCTGTCGAGCGTCAGATGACAAGACAGGGACTCTCATGGGATGCTTAGAAAGCTCTGGATCACATGAGGTAGTTGGCAGGAAGGGCCATCTGCCATTCACTGGGTCTTTGGCTTGACAGCCTGTGAAGTGGATGGTGAGGTGCTTCTTGTCAGGGGCTGTCAGGAGTGGTCCATGGGGAAAGCTGGAGATGCAGGAGCATGAGACGATGTTTGTCAGCTGTTGGTGTCCAAGCAGGAGCGTAGGTCACATGCTGCATCTGTGGGGCATTTTATTCTCAGCCCCATGGGGAGCTTCTAGAATGTCTTCTAAGCCTTAGCTACATCAGGACACTGAAGACCCCTCCAAGCTGCCGGTCCTTCCCTTGGTGTTCCAGGCACACTGGGCTGTCGCAGGACTACCATCTCCTAGAGAAAGCCTGACGTGCTCAACGGGCAGGGCGTCCCCAGCCCCGGAGCCAGTGGAGAACCTCAAAAAAACGCTGGTACAGGAAGCTGGGATGCTCAAATAGAACCAGCGTTACATCCCTGACAACAGAGCGAGGGTCCAGCCTTCCTGACGACAGGCGCTCGGGACTTAAAGTGGCAGCTCACAGTGACCCACAGTCCTGTGGGAAACACATGGCATCTTAGGAACCAAGAAATCACGCAGCCAGCTGACGAGGGCACCAAGATGTCCTCTACCTGACCCTGAAGTCCTTGTGATTTGATCTCAGCCAAGCGGGCCGGGCAGGACACAGGACGTAGGGGCTGCAGCCAGGGCTGACCCAGCAACCTCTGCTTCCTCGATGGCCTGTGCACAGACCCATGCCCATAGCTCAGGTCTCCAGGGTTAAAAGACTCTCCCAGCCCCTAAGAACCCCTAAGCTAGGTGTTCCCTGGGGCTGGCTGGTTACAAGGATCCCCAGAGGAGATGTGTGTAAGCCTGTATGTGGGGGGGGGCAGATGAATGTACCTCACCATGCTGAGTTTGCACTTTGGGGGTTAGGTACCCTCCCAATGCTGTTCCACCCTCACCACTAATTCCAGAGCATTTTCATCATCCCTCCCAGCCCTCCCTCCCTAAGAGCTCCCTCCCCTGGCCCTGGCAACTGCTAATCTGCTTTGTCTCCATGGATTTGTCTGTTCTGGACTTTTCACATAAATGTAGTCACAAAAGCTGCAGCCTTTGGTGTCTGGCTTTTCTCCGCCCCCCACGTGCATTTAGGGTTCACCACGCTGTGGCATGGGGCACAGCGTCCTTCCTCCTTCAGACCAGTTTGCCATCTCACCATCTTCATCCTCCAATGGCATGTGGTGGCCTTTTCCTCTTGGCTGTGCCAGTGAAGCCCTCCTGTAGGTCTGATTCAACCACCTGCTTTCTTTGGGACACATCTTTGTAGTGGAGCTGAGTCTTATGGTCACCAAAACTGAGTTCAAAACCTCGGATGGCTCAGCAGTTTGGGGGCAAGTTCCTGGAATTTGTATTTCTAGGAAACGTCTCTGCAGCGCTTCTCTGGTGCCAGCAAATGAAACAAACATCCTATTGGCATCCACCAAGGCAGGTATCTTTAAAAAAAAAAAATCAAGAACTTTAGTATTTCTCTGGAAACTCTTTACTTAATCCACATATGGGGAGACTGACAACTTCAGGAATTTATGGCTCAGTAGATCAAAGGCCAGCCCTCCCCTGGTCTCGCTAGTGGGTTTCTGAGTGCAGGGCCAAGCCAGCCCTGGGTCCTCTCTGGAATGGTGTGGGTATCGCAGGCCATGAGTGGCCCTGAGTGTCCTGCCCACCACCTCTGCCAAGCCCAGAGCCAAAATCTGGGTAGGTGCAATTGCTATGGAACTGGCTGGTCTTCAGCATAGGTCCTCCGAGGTCTTGTGTGGAGCTCATTTCTGTATGTGCCCAGCATGGATGTGGATGGACGTGTGTGTGTGTGTGTGTGTGTGTGTGTGTGTGTGTGTGTGTGTAAAGATCCGGACATGGGTATACCCACAGAGACAGAACGAACATGGACTCCCAGAGCACATGCTTAGCTAAGTCAGGAATAGGGCAGAGCTTGAGAATGTTAAATGTCTAGGAGCTTGTGTTGGGGACAGTCTAACAAGGTTAAGTTTGCCTGCAGCCAGCAAGCCTGTAGAGACGTGGCAGGCCTTGATCAAGGGCAGCTCTACTATAGCCCTGAAGCCCGAGGCATGAGCAGGCGTGAAGGGCCTGCAGGGAGGCCCCTTTCTGTCCAGCAGCCTAGATGCTTGCTTCTGAGCTGTGCTGGCCTCCAGCAGGCCATCTTCACGTGGAAGTGGAAGTGGGCATCCTTGGTCCTGTTTCACTGGTAGGAGGCCCAGAGCATCCACCAACCAGGACAAGCAGTGGGGACAGGATGCAAACTGGGTGATGTCACATATTCCACACTTCAGGCCCCTGTCACCTCAGGAAAAGATGGGACCTGGGTACCTCCGAGTCTTGGCCCTTCTCCCCATCCCTATGACCTGTCAGGCCCTGCGTGTCAGTGAAATGCTCATCCCAGTGGCCATGTGTGCCAAGGGGCGACGGGCGGCCCACACCTGCAGAGGACCAGAGGCTCCACACGCAGAGCCAGGGTCACCTCCTGAGGGTACACATGCCACTGTGCAGACAGACTCAGCGCTGCTCATGGCATCCTCAAGTACCTGGAACAGACAGCAAGCCCTTCAGGGGGCACAGTAACACGTCTCCAAACCAACAGCAATCACAAGAGCAGCCAGACCTGCAAGTGACCCACAGACCTACCAAACACAAGACACATGGGGCATCCGCTCTTCTCCCCAGACTTCCTTCTGCCTATGGCCCAGGATTCCATGACCCACAGTCTTCCAAGCAGCTGCTAGCACCTGTGGTGTGCAGAGATAAAGCCTGGCAGGCCACACTGGTAAGACACGGACTCCACAGTGAGAGGACGCTCAGACTTAGCATGGCTTCTTACAGCCAAAGGAAAAGCCCTGAACCTGACCAAAACTAAAACCTGTCATGCTTCAAAGGCTGCTGTCATGAAAGGGAGAGCCCACTCAGAAAGATGAGGGGACACGCTTCCAAACCTGGTAAGGCACTTGTACCCCAACATGTGAAGAACCCTCACATCCATAAAAATTCAAATAACCCAATTAAAAACCAGGAAAAAGTTCAAAATAGACATTTCTCCAAGGAAGATCCACAAGTGGCCAGGCAGTACTCACCACCTCATGGTGAGAAATGCACAGCAAAACCAGAATTATCTCACTGTGAGGGCGGCTATGACCAGCAGAGCAGAAACAGGCCAGGGCCGGGGCGAGACACCGGGCCTCACACACTGCAGGTGTGTAAAATGGTGTGGCTGGAGGGAGATGCCAGGCCTCACACAACACAAGTGTATAAAATGGTGCTTTGGGGAGGCTGGCTTCCTCCAAAAGTTAAACCCTGAGTTCTGGGACTTTATCACCCTATAATACTGCCCAAAGAAATAAAACCAGCCTCACCCAGGTACCACCGAGTGACCACACCATCCAGAGTTCATGGTTAGAAATGCCAGCCAAGTCACATCACAGAAAGCAGACTGTAGGGCTGGGAAAGAACAGGTATGACTGCTAACAGGACAGTTCCCTGAGAATGTTCTGGAGTCAAGATGCAAAAGATGACAGCTATGTCACCTGGTGAAAATACTCAACCCACTGAATTGTACCTTCAGATGCACACTTACGGAACGTGACCTAGCACAGAAAGATTAGCAGGCTGTCAGAGACAGAGAGGGAAGGTAGCAGGAGTCTGGTACGTAATACAGTCGGGCTTTGCAAGGTTATGCGTATTTATTGAAAACTTCCTTCACCAACAATGGCGAAGTCAAGACCTCAAATTACAAAACATGATGGCAGTTGACACTTATAAAAATAGAGCAAAGGCCTATGCTTCACAGACTTGTGCACGCTTCCTTCGGCCCCGTCCTCTCATCAGAAAGGAGACCACGGGTCTGTCACCACTTATGATGTCATAGTAGAAAACCGTACTTCATTGACAAAAAAAATAGCTTTGCTTCCAAATAGCACAAGTCTTTAAAGTGACTCTTCTCCACAATAAATATAGAAAATAGCCTTTAACAAGCATGTCTTAGCGTGGTCAGAAGTTGCTGCATTTCTGTGAAGTCCATCGGCCCTTCAGGCAGTCATGCCCAGAAGCCCTTCGAGGTTCTGTGTCTTTGGCGCACTCAGCTGTGGGGCGGGACGCTGTTGGAGGTTGAGCTGCTGAGGTCCTCCCGCCAGGGCTCAGGGCTGCGAGGTACTCCAGGTTGTACCTTCAGGGAGGCCCAGGTAGAACAGACTAATTCAGCCACAGCTAGAGATGGGGTCCCTCAGAAATGGACCTCTTCCAGGAACATCCTCCGAGGTCCCAGGTACCCATCGGAGTGGACCAAGGCTTGTGTGGCTCGGCAGAGTGACTATCACACAGACGGGGTCCTTGGGGGGTGGGCCTGTTGTGTGAGCTGTGGGCGCTTGGCCCTGGGCCTCCTCCGCTTTGGCCGGCTCTTGGCCTTGCTGATCTGTACCACAAAGAAGGCCAGGGCCACCATGGCTCCCAAGAAGGCGAAGACAGGGATGGTCTGCCCGACCTCCTGGTTGTAGCGGCCTGGCATGATACCTGTAACAGGACAATAATTAGTCACAGAGCTAGAGCGACAGCCTTACTGAGAATCAGCTCATCAGAGGCCAAACACTCTAACAGCATTAGCTGGGCTGGCAGGGCAGACATCACTTCTGAGAGGGAGCTCAAGCAGCTCAGCCTGCTAACAGTGTGGGCGAGAGGGACATGCAGCCAATTCTGGCTAGCTGAGCCCAAGCAAGCCTGTGGGAGGGGTGGGGGGGGTGGCTCATGGCTGGTAGACAAGCCTTGACCCTGTCCTGGCCGACCTCCATCAGTGCGACCCAGAGAGGCTTTCTGCATCTCTAGGAGCAATGGAAAACACACCGGACTCAATCCAGCAGTGCTGGAGTCCTACGAGCCGAGGAGACAGAGGAAAGCAGTAAAGTAGGGAGGTATGGCCACACTCCCCTAGTTGGAAAGCCTCCCAAGGTGGCCACCAAGGGCCCTGAGTTTAGAAGTCAATGTCATGGGCTCGCCAGCTTGCTCTCATCAGGGCACCCTGTGACCCTAGGCCTTCAGGATCTTGGTTTCACAAAATGAAGTTCCCACGGTTGGCCGACCAGGGCTGGGGCACTTTTTCACAGGCCGTCAAGTTTCTGGCCAATTCCTGAAACCCACAGAAAACCCCACTTTGGAGCTATAAACACTCGAGGCCACAGGATTTTCCAGAGCAAAAGGGCCACTAACATTCGGCAGGAGTGATCTGGATCCGTTCTCCAGCTAAAGAGCCTGAGAAAGAAGTTCCATTTGCACAGAAGACAGAACGGAGCACAAGTGTGTGCGGCTCAATCAGGTGCAGGCTTGGGCAGAAGGCCAGAAGGCTCCGGGGCCAACACAGCAGAGAAGCCCCACGGAGGGGAGCTGTCCTGGGCACACCGTTCGCCAACAGCATGCAAGTTACTCTGGAAAATTCTAAGTTACCATGTGGCCAACACAAAAGAAATTGAAATTTAAAATATGTTTATAGAATTTTCTAGGAGAAATGACACCATCCTCTAGACCTGCTCATGGCCTTACTGGTTAGCATCACAAAGGTGGCCATCAGGAAGGCCAGGGAAGGCCTGGTCCTCCTCCTCAGGAGGGAGGGAGACCACCTAGAAGTGCACAGCAGAACTCACCTCCAGGAATGTCCCAGGCACCACTTTCGCCAGGGGACAAGGGTCTCACTTGAGGGCGATTCGATCGAAAGTTGGGTAGGACCACTTTGTCCAGGTCAATGGAGAGCAGCTTCTGATGTTTCCAAAGATTGCTTCCAGGAAACAGATTAAAACAAAATGAAGTTAAGTATCTGTCCCTACCAAGGATGTTTAACCAACACACAAGAAACCACAAGCAATGTACAGGGCACCATGAGGGCCTCTGCACTGACCACAGACTGCCACCTGAGCAACATGAACAAGCTGTGGACTCCAGGTCTCCCGAGGTGTCTGAATCGAGCCCATGCTCCGAGACTGCAGGAGCCAGGGAAGCCCTGTCCTAAGGATGCGTACACTACCTGCCCAAGCCATTTCTGCTTATCACTGGGAATACTGCAAAGCAAGCCAGAGGACACAGTCCAGGCTGGACCTCTGGGAGGAGCTGAAGCCTGAGGAGAAGTCATGGAGGTCTTTCCCCGAGGCTCTAAGCAACCTGGGTTTGCTTTCTGATGAATGCAAAATGCAGCCAGGGGACCAGCCTGTCTCCTCAAAGATACCACCACCCAGAGTGAGAACGTAACAGACCACCAGTAACCAGGCCACGAGTAACCAGGCACTGGAGAGCCATGCGCGCCTAGTACCTGCCTGACTGTGGGGTGGGTGTGAGCTCTGTGAAGACGGGTGCTGGGTGGGAACAGGCTTACTCATCTTTGACTCCTCTGCACATCTGAGAATTTGGAAGGCCAATAGAAGGAGAAATGAAGAAAACAGTGACTGGCACACTGCGAATGGCCCCGGAGTGGCAAGCTCAGGGCACTTGGGTAGAGCCATGGACACCAACAGGTAACACCGCTCTGGCTGAAGGAGGGGAGGTACTTGCAGGTGATGAGCTGCTTCCTCCTGCTGTCAATTCACCCAGAAACTGTCAGCAGGAGTCTTTTGTTTGAGCTGAATGAACCCACAGGCATCCAGTCCCATTAGCAGCAACCAGGCCGCAGGTCAGCATGAAGCTAGAGATGAACGAGGCTTCCCCCGGGGGAGAGAGGCTGTCATGGCTCCTGGCCGAGCAACGGCCTGGCAAACTCTGCCAGGACCACACCTTGACCCACTCTGCACAGCTTAAGGCTGCTGCTCAGCGTAAACTCATGTGAGAAGGCTTTCCAGCTGAGCTGGGCGCACAGCTGACAGTACCGCGTGTGACAGTACCGCGTGTCCTGAAGTTGTTACTGTGATTGTACTAGTGCATCATCAGGATTGAAAGCACAGGCGCCACACACGGAAGAGGGTGGAGCTTCCAACAGGGGCCCCTCTCAGAGTCGATGTACCCCCAGCACGGACCCCTGTCCAGCCACGAGCTAGGAAAATGCCTCACCTCACAGAGATGGACCTTACCCTTGGAATGGTCCATGGCCACCTGCAGCTATCTAACACGAGTATGGAACCTTCTAGAGATTCAGAATATGCCTCGAACTAGGTCTCTGAGAACTGAGTAATTTTCCACAAGACGTGAGATGTGATATAAGAGTGCAGTGTAGCATCGTATTAAGGACAGTGACGGATTAGAGACCAAGTCAAAATCCAATTCCAGGGGCTGGACATAATCAGCACCCCGGATGTCCCCAGAGTTAGGAGGATTATCTGATGCGGACAGTCAGATACCAAAGGATGCTGTCATGTCTCTCAGAGTCTTCAGCAACACTGGGGAGAATAATTGGGTTTCTGGCACTTTGGCTAACAAGGACTGCCCTTTGAGCATGAACTGCTGACCATGTCCAGAACATGAAGTCTGGTTTGAATGCTAAGATGACAGAAGGTTCTAAGTAAATAAGGATCCAAAAATGGAAACAGAAGTTTGAGTGGAGAACACTCAGCAAGGAGAGGGCCAGGAAGGGAACTGCTGGGGACAAGCGTGAGCCTAAGCTGTGTGTGTGCACGTGTGTGTGTAGAAAAATGCTGTTGAAGATAAGTGTGAACCTAAGCTCTGTGTGGGACTGTGTGTGTGTACACATACGTGCAGAAAACTGCTGCTGGAGACAAGTGTGAGCCTAAGCTCTAGGTGAGCCTGCGTGTGCGTGTGCACAAGCATGTGGAGGCCAGAGGTCAACCTCAGGTGCCCTCAATCTCTGCCGTGTATTTTGGACACAGGTCTCTCCACCTCCCCAATGCTGGGCTCACAAGTGTGTTGCTGCACCCAGTTTTTCTTTTCTGAAATGGGTGCCAGGGGAGTGGACTTGGCGCAAGTGCTTTGCTAGGCCACCTCCCCAGTCCCAACTTTCTTGTTTCTGTGAGGACATCTTAAGACAGGGTCCTTGGCCAGTACACTGAAGACAGACGGCTTGAACACCTTGCCACGGGTAGCCTCCCCCTCACAGCATGGCGGTGGCCCTGCCTCTGGCCACACCACTTGTCCACCACTGATCCATGTACAGGGGCAGCCTTGACGGGAGGAGAGAAGGCGGGAAAGACACTGGTCTAGATGACGGCGGCTGGGAGGAGCCAGGAGAGGGCCACCTTCCTGCCCGCGACAGCTCTGCCAGCATCTGCAGGACAGCAGACCCCGCTTCCTGTGTCGTCCTGCTCAGGCAAGACACCAGACAGAAAGGGGAAGGTGAAGACAGCAGGCAGCCCAGTGGGGGCAACTGAGGGAAACGATGCACACAGAGAGTCCGGGTTAGAGACACAGGAACCTCGCAGGGGCCCACACACACGCGCACCGCCTGAATGATGAGGCTGCGGCCTGCACAGGTCGCACTGCTCCGCCAATGACATCACGGTACTGGAGTGCCAGCACCCGGTGCACTCTGCCGACTGGGCCGCTGCTGCAGAAGCCACACCCACACGGAGCAGCTCTACCCTGGGTGTGTCAGGAGAGGCCCATCGGTGTTCTGCAGGTATTCCGAATCCAACACCGTGGACAGGCCGCACAGCTGCAGATGACAACCCTCAGCCCCACACGGAAGCTGGAGCTTCTCAAGGGACAGCATTCAGCTGGATGACACCTTTCCAAACAAGAACTGGCCAAAGCAACGTGCCGAAGCACTCTACTGCAGGGTACCACCAAAAGTCAATATGGGGGTCTGCTCATTTCCATAACCCTCAAAAGCAAGCTACAAGATTTGATTATTCAATAATCACGTCAGCAAAACTCCATTCTCATAAAACAAAGAATGAGTCACAGGCCTTGGGGAAGGAAGGGAAAAGCACAGGCAGACACCGACCTGGGTGCTGTCTCATTCAAAGGCTGAGGTTTGGCCCAAGACAAATGTGGACAGGCTGGAAGAGGCCGAGGTTTCGGGTCTCCCAAGTGGGCTTCGAGAACTTTGGAGTAGCGATGAAGGTGGTTTCCTGTGGTTAGCAGCAGAGAAGACAGAACAATCGTCATTATTAGACAACAGAAAAGACAGCTCTGAGTGACGTGTGCCTTCCTGCCAACAGCCCAGTGTCCATCAATCTGTCTCTCATGTGTATAAGGACAACAGGGGCCCCAGTCTGTGGAGCCTTCGCTGGTCATCGATCACACTCAAGACCCCCGAGGACAAGGCCTCTGAAAATATCTCTTCTGAAAAATTTAATTCTCTGGCCAAGAAAACAAACAAACTGCTCTTCTAGGTTTTTCTGTGCCAATCAAAACTGCAGCTGCCAGCTACATGTGGCTACTGGGCAATGAGACGATGTGACATGCCTTTGACATTTTAGTGCATTAGGTCCAAGTTAGTTATGAGATGAATTTCACCTTTCTTATTGAGTGTGTGTGGTGGGTGGGTGTGCATGGTCACTTGTGTGCATGTGTGTATGTGGAAGCCAGAGACTGAGGCCAAGTGTCGTCCATGCTCTCTGCCTTGCTACCTTGTGTTTTGAAACAGGGTCTCAGTAAGCCTGGAGCTCACCAGTTCAGCTAGGCTGGCTGGCCAGCGAGCCCCAGGGATCCTCCTGCCTCGGCCCACCCAGTGCTGGGTGACAGGTGTGCACTGCTGCACCCTGGGTGTGCATGGTCACTTGTGTGCATGTGTGTATGTGGAAGCCAGAGACTGCCACCCAGTGCTGGGTGACAGGTGTGCACTGCTGCACCTAGCTTTTACCTGGACGCTAAGGATCCGAACTTACTCATGCTTGGGCTGTAAACACTTTACCAACTGAGCCGCCTTCCCAATCCCTGCTGGAATTTTTCTTTTCAGTTCTGGCTTTTTTATTTTTTGAGATGGGGTTCACTATACACAGCCCAGTCTGGCCTCAAACTTGATATTCTCCTGTCTTAGCCTCCAAGTGCTGCAATCAGAGGCATCCAACAGTACGCCTGGCTGCTACTATAAAATTCTAAACAACATCTGTGGTTCACATTATCTGTGGACAGTACTGCAAGGAAGAGAACATTCAGTTCCATGGGCACATGAGCGCCAACCCCCACAGGCTGTGGAGTGAAGGGAGATTAGGGCCCATCTCACACAGCCAAGTGACTCCCTGGGGCAGCTACTCCTCTCCCTCCCATTCCTTCATCTGTATACCAAATATTAGCTCTTTTCACAAGATTACTGGGAAGCATTAGTTAACTAATCCCCATAAAGCACCAAGCCTGGTGTCTGGTACCCAGAGAGAACTCAAAGATGCTAGCTAGACCCTAGGACAGTACCCATACACAGGATCCACAGTGCCTGCCTATCCTGGGATCAGGAGGATGGGTCCCCTGATCAGCTATCAGCATCTATTAAGAAAAACAACCCAAGGGCTAGAGAGATGGCTCAGCAGTTCTCAGAGAGGACTCGGATTCAATTCCAGCACCCACAGGCCAATGAACTGTAACCTCAGTTCCAAGAGGATCTGAGACCCTCTCCTAGCCTCTGCAGGTACTGCATGCAGATGCACTTAAATGTAGGCAAAACACTCACACATATAAAATAAAAACAAGAAACAAATATTTTAAAAGGGAAGGTCACATGGACTGACTGTGGCCCAAGTACCAGGCTGTAGGCAGCCAGGCACGGGCCCTTCAGGCAGCTGTGGTATAGGTAAGCGGGGCATGCAGGAGGCACCCAGCAAGGAGCCAGTGGGACATCCCTGGTGATATTCCTACTCATGGTGAGGGTCCACGTTCTGAAGAGGAAGGTTTGGCTGTGGAGGAGGTGGCTAATGGGGGACAGGACGGACTGTCCACCTGGGGGCTTCCAGGAGGAACAGCCTGTCCACTGTGGAGCAGGCTGCCCATCTTTTTAATGTGGACTGGGACCTGGCATTGAAAGCAGACCAAGGCAATCTTTACGAGGCCAATGACATTCAGGGGAGCACTCCCCAAGAGACAAATCTTGGGTGTGCTGTGCCCCACAAGGAGACATGCTGCATGACCCTGGCTGGGGCCGTCTACCTCCACCAATACACATTATCCTGAGATGGTCTTTGAAACAGGACAGCTGATGATGCCACAGATTGCAGGTGTCGCTTTCCGCCTTCAGGGTTTTTATGCCCTCCCCCCACGAAGACCTGTGTCGTGCCTTTAAGGTGAGACACCTTATCCAAGCCAGTGTTCCCAGTGGTCTGAGTATGGGCTATACACACTGGTGTGAGCTAAGGCCCCACGGCTTTCTCCCGTTTTGTTGTTGCTGTTAACAGATTCTTTGGAATGCATCAGCATGTGTGTGTGTGTGTGTGTGTCAGAAGAAGTGTGTTTTTTATAAATAAAAGGAGGGGGAAAGAAAGAGAGAAAACCGGCTCATGGCACCCACGGAGGGACAGGTTCAAGGGCAGGTGCACCACCTCCCTGTGGGCAGTGCCACGACAGAAGTGGCACCAAGCAGGCTGGCCCACTGCGGCGCGTGGGGACACTCACCTTCCATCCTCTCCGGAGGGGCTGAGCCAGCTCCATTGGGTGGGCGCTGGCGGTTCCCAGAATGGCTGAGGCTGGGTGGGGTCACACCATATGATGTGTACTGAAGGAGAGCATCGAGAAGCCAAAAGCAGTCTGCAGAGTGACAGGCAGGCCTTTAGGGTTGGCCTTTAAAAATGAATCTCAAGCCAGGCATGGTAGTGCACGCTTTTAGCCCCAGCACTATGGAGGCAGAGGCAGACAGATCTCTGTGAGTTCAAGGCCAGCCTGGTCTACATAGTGAGTTCCAGGACAGCTGGAACTACAGGGAGACCCTGTCTCAAAAAGACAAAGAAAAAAAAAACAAAAAACAAACAAGTTCATTCACCCCGAGTAGGCACCACTGAGAGCAAATGGGCTGGACTGGGAGCTCCACGGCAGGGGCAGGACAGGGACACGACCTTCTCCAAGTGCTCCTGGGGGCAGGAAGTAGATGTGCACTACGAGGACACTTACCATGAGAAGGCGAGTTCAAGGTATGCAGGGAGGTCTATTAATTTGAGCTGGCCTTTGAGTCAGAGGCCCTACCAATGTGTTCAATTCTCAGGGACCCTCCCAGAGTCTAGGTCTGAGACTAGGAGCACCTCCCACCCAGCAGCAAAGAGGCTCCTTCTTAAAAGGTTGCCGATGCTCCTGTGCACTCCACACCTGTGTTTACCCCGTCCAAATCCCACGAACATCCACTTGCACCACAGCAGCTTCATGAGTGGGAAAGGCTGTAAGTAGTCTGGTCTTGAAAGAGCATGCACTTCTGGCCAAGTGCCAGAGCCCCGAGGACCCAAAAGCTGCCGCCTGAGATGCACAGGCACAGACTGTCCTCGCAGGCACTTAAAATTTTAATAAAGTTTCTTAACAGGAGAGCTCAGATCCTAAGAGAATATCTCTGGAAATAAAACATTAATCTCCTATCTGCTGTGATTTTTAACCTCACTTGGTTTTTTATAAAGACCAATCCTATTCTAAGAATTTACATAAGTGACTGAGATTCAGTCAATCTCAACTTAGAATTCAGAAAAGGTATAATGCACCCTGGCACACGCCTCCTGCCTGCAGGTCTGGGAGTCACTAGGTCTGAGAACCCTGCAGTGGACTCACGGAGCCAGAGACAAGACTGCAGTCCTGATTTCACTGCCGTCCTTCCAGGTAAAAACAAGTAAGACTTCACTTTGTTTCCTCCTTCATAAAATATGGAGAAGAAACAGCTGGACCCAAGCACACTGCAGGACGTGCCAAAGCAGGCTGAAGAGGAGGCCCAGAGAGTTTCTGACCCCTCTGTCTTGCTGGCTTTGCCTCCTGCACCCCTAGTGCGGAGAACAGGCTCCTTGATGAAAAAGGCTCCCTCCCAGCATCCCAAACTTTCAATTCCCAGAAGTGAGCAACCAGCAGGGCCTCCAAGTGTGGCTAAACTGTGAGCCAGCCAGGAGCAGGCTCCCAAGTGAGGCCTCTCAGCCCAGAAGGAAGCCCGACAAGGGCAGGACCTGGGTCAACCGAGTCAAGGGCTCGCCACTAAACAGGTGAGGCTGGCCCACGGCCATGGGATGGGAAGCAGAGGTGGGCTAGAGAGGCCCGTAGAGGCAATTCTGGTGTGTGTATCCTGAGGGTCAACCTTTAGGTACCTATGAAAATATGCCGTCCCAGTGTCCCTGACTCCTGCAGCAAGCACCTGTTTACTCACCAGCTTCTGGCTGGTGCCTCTACAGGCACAAAGGAGCAGCACAGTGCCTCGGCCCTAGGCCTATGCGTCCTCTTTGTGGCCATGCTGCGTACTGAACCCAGAGCCTCCTGTGTCCTAGGCAGGCACCACCACCAAGCTGCAGCACCAGCCCCATGTGCCGTGCTCTTACCCTTCTGCCGGTGACTGTCATCCAAGCAATTGGAGTCTCCATAGAGCACAATTCGGCCTCCGCCCTCAACTGGAATCTGATAAAGCCCCAAAACAGGGACATTCTCAACTATTGCTGTCTCTTGCTTTAAAACCTCCAGTCCTAGATAAACAATGAAAACAAGATGGAAAATTCTTATTAAGGAATTATTTATTTTCAGCTGCCAACTTAAAGTAGTGTTTTAAATATTGTTGAGTTTTAGTTTTATCAAATTTCAGCTATAGCTCTCATAGAACCATTGTCCACAAATCTAGTCACATGCACTGACCACCAGACCCCTTCTGAGTTCCATCATTAAAAGGTAAATGCAACTAATTTTCTTTTCAAAATTCCCAGGATTGGGAAATTTTTTTATTTATCATTTTTTTATCTTATGTGTATGAGTGTACTGCCTGCATGTGTGTAAGTGCACCTGTGTCATGCAATGCCTAGAGAGGTCAAAAATGGCCACTGGATCCCCTGGAACTGGAGTTACAGATGGTTGTTAGCCACCATGTGGGTGCAGGGAATTGAACCCAGGTCCTCTGCAAGAGCAACCAGTGCTCTTAAGTGCTGAGCCATCTCTCTAGCCCCTGAATGTAACTAATTTTTAAAATGTGTGCCCAGCAGCCTGGTGTGGTGGTGCACGCCTTTAATCCCAGCTCTTGGGAGGCAGAGGCAGGTGGATCTTTGTGGCCAGCCTGGTGCTACATAGTGAGTTCCAGGACAGCTGGGGCTACAGGGAGACCCTGTCTCAAAAAGACAAAAAAAAAAAAAAAGTATGCCCACATACTTCTACTTTGTATTTAAAACTTCACAAAACACATTCTAACAGCAGAGCCGTCTTTCTTTTCTTTATAAAAATATTTTATTTATGATTTTTATTTTATGTGTATGAGTATATTGCCTGCATGTATATGAGTGCATCCGTGTCAAGCAATGCTGGAGGTCAGAAGATGGCTTCGATTCCCCTAGAACTGGAGTTAAGGACGGTTCACAGCCACCATGTGGGTGCTGGGAATCGAACCTGGGTCCTCTGCATGATCAGTCAATGCTCTTAACTGCTGAGCCATCTCTCCAGACCCAGAGCCGTCTTTCTCAACCAAACAGATGACATAACTCATTGTTTAATGAGTCAAAAAGTAAAGCAATGTACCAGTATCATGGGCAGCAACCATCAGTAGCACGGTCCCATGCTGAGTGTCTACCCCTAAAGCAAAGCTGTCCTTAGCACTCAAAGACAGGCATCATCAGAATCCAGCACTGCAGTGCACATGTCAATCAACCTAAAACACCTCTAGTTACTCACACACTCCTGCCCTGTGTTCAAAGTTGCCCAGGCAGGCCTTGAGTGTGTGATCCCCTGCCTGAGCCTCACTAGCAGGAAGGATGATAGGCCTGCACCACATTGCCCAGCAACTTTAATTTGTAGAGTTCTGGTGCTAAGGTCTTTTCTGACTCGGCATAACCTGCACTGTCAAAGTCCTATTTTATAACCAAAGACTATTCAGTTTAAAGTCAAGGCAGCTGATTTCTTAGACTGCAGCAAACACACAATGAAGCCTGCACTATAAATCTGCTCTCGCTGGATCCTTGGCAGAACAACAAGCTGCAGAGGGTGGCAAGTTAGCCAGGAGGCCAAGCAGCTCTCGGAATCATAAGCCTGTGCTGAGCTGGGCCAAGGGGCCAAGAAGACATAATTATCACATGTTCCAAGTTCTACTGTAGCCACAAACAGGTAAACTGAGAAATTCTACAGTTTCACACTTGCAACTAATAAAACTCTCTCAGGTACAGAAAGAGAAGCCTTGACAGAGGTGCGCAGGGCTCGCTTGTACGAAGAAATGGCTCCACGTGGTCTACAAGTTATCACACGAGGCAGGTCTGTTTCCTGGCACTCAGCAGAGGTGAGAGGAGTCCTGTGGCTCTAAATCCTAGCTCTGCAGTGACGACCACAGGAAGAACACCCCGTGGTCCTCTCAGGCCCTACTGCCTGGCACCTAACTTACAAAAAGGTGACCCCGCTTGTCCCTGCTCCTCCCCACTCACGAGGCAGGCTCTGTGCACTGAGACTGGCCCAGGCCTGCTGAGGGATGTCTGCCTGTAGGTGAAGCAAAACTGAACAGCAATCTACCCAGAAGAGAAGCAGAGAGGCTACTCTATGATGCTTTGGTCTCTGCACCTCCTTACAGCTAAGAATGCTAAGATACCATCAAAGCCCCTCTGTAAGTAACCTGACAGTGACAGAAACGGAACGAGCCTTAGACTGGAACAAAGAATACCGGAGGCTTGTCCCAAAGAAATCCCATTTCTTTTGCAGTCTATGCATATCCATTCACATTACCACCAGAGTCTGACTCTCATTCTGGGCTCCCACCCCGACCTGAAGCCACACCACAGCAAGTACCATACAAGCAATGCCGCAATGAGTTGTACCAGGAACCAGAGGGAAGGGAAGGACCAGACCAGCGGGTGAGATTCTAATGTAAAAATCACTGAATCGGGCTGGAGAGATGGCTCAGCGGTTAAGAACACTGGTTGTTCTTGCAGAAGACCCGGATTTGAATCCAAGCACCCATATAACAGCTAACAACTGTCCGTAACTCCAGTCCCAGGGGATCCGACAGCCTCTTCTGACCTCCACAGGCATTGCACGACACGGGTGCACTTACCTACATGCAGGCAATACACACAAACATAAAATAAAAATTAAAAAAATTTTTTTTTAAATCTCTGAATTAGCTTGCTTTGGCAGCACATCTACTAAAATTGGAACGATACAGAGATTAGCATGGCCCCTGTGCAAATTCGAGAAGTGTTCCATATTTTTACCAAGATCCTAAATGTTGATGATGGAAACACAGTAGTAATAAATTTTCATGTGACCAAAAAAAATAAAATAAAAAAATAAAAATAAATTAAAAATTTTGAAGAGGGTGAAGCTGGAGAAATGGTTCAGTGGTTAAGAGCACTTGCTGCTCTTCCAGAAGGCCCACCACAGGTTCCCAGCACTCACATGGGCTTGTGACGGTGTCTTTTACCTTGGTCCTTAAAGGTCTGTGTTATCACTATGCCATCTTCTGGAAACTTGGCAATGCTGCATCCGGATGCATAATACACTAGAAAACAGTGTCCAGTGTTACAGGATCGAGATGTCAGCTCCCTGACCAAACATGCATTCTCCAGACAGGGTCTATTTCATTTATATTTATCTTTTAAGATTCTTTTCAAGTGCTATCACACTTAAATTAGAAATAATTCAAACCTTAAGTAAAAAACACTAGTTAACAAATGATTTTAAATGGGGCAGTACAAAAATAAACCCAATGACTGCTGAAGGGTGGATTTTGAAAATAAAGTTGTTTTTTTTTTGGTCTTTTTGAGGCAGGGTCTCTCTGTAGCCCCAGCTGTCCTGGATCTCACTATGTAGACTAGGCTGGCCCTGAACTCACAGAGATCTGCCTGCCACTGCCTCCACGCCTGGCTAGATTTTTACTTTTTAAAAAAGAAATAATTTTTGTTTGTTTTGGAAGAAAGGCTCTTGTTACCTACCCCAAGCTGGCCTTGAACTCTCCCAGTCCCTGGCTTCTGAGCACTGGGATTGCAGGTTATGAGTCCCGTGCCCAGTTATATGGTGCTGGGGTGGAACCCAGGGCTTTGTGCACACTAGGTAGGCACTCTACCATGTGAGCTACATGCCCAGCCTGTTTTTGTGGTGTTGAGCACTGAACCCAAATCCTTGTACAAGTGACTACTAAGCTGTACTCCCAGCCCAATGTGCCTTCTGGAAACAGACTAGATCTTTCCATATTTTGGCTCATTCAGGAACCCTTTCTCAAATCTAGATTTCAAAAGCACACAGCCCACGCCCTCACACCACTGTGGTTCATGCCTCTTGCACACAGACACAAAGCCTTACTGTCATGGTTTGCCAGTGCAAACTCCCCTTCATACAGGCCGTCACTGAACCCCATGTTCCACACAGACAGCAGCTCATTCAGAGCTGGGATGTTGGCTCCTCCGGTGTCCGGCATCCACCACTGCCTGTAAAAGTGGCAGCGGGCAGAGAAGGCGCTATGGAGACACCCCACGTACCTCCTCATACACGGCCTCCTCCCGTGACAAAGCATGAGGCCTACTGTCAAAATCCAGCCCATCCATCTATACAAGTGTCAACTGAAACAGGCTGTTTGGTCTGAGAAATAACTGCAAAGGTAACAGCTCCAGCCAGTGTGCAGAATGCACTAAAGCTTTACTTTATGAAGTGGAGACCAGCCCTTCATTGGCAACCCAGACAGTCTGGACGCAGTCAGAACCACGAAGCAAAGGGAGTGAGAAAGAGCGGCATCCAAGCTCCAGTCAGAAGAATCCAAAGGGGAAGCTCAATTCTTATATAACCCCCCCTTTTCTTTCAACTCCTATGTAGATCAGGCTGGCCTCAAACTCCCAGAGACCTGCCTGCCTGCCTCCCTAGTTGGGGATTAAGGCATGCTCCGTGACTCTCAGCCGACATTTCTAACGCTCTAGGAATCAGGGCTCAGCAGTACCAACCAGGTCTTTTTCGTACCAGTTCCTTTGGTGCATGTAAATTTGAACTGTTTAGAATGAGAGATACGGGAGGATGGAAAAGCACTAAACAGAAATCAAAGCACAAGTATCCAGGATCAATGAGGGAAGAAAATGGCCCTGTAATCAGCATTCGGAGTCAAGGAATGCCTACTTCTCTACAAAGAACTTCCTTCTACACAGGCAGGGCTTTCTCTACCTATACTCTGCTCCCTAGAAAGACCACCACCAAGTCAGACAGTCCCATAAAACTTTGCTAGGTAGGCGCTTGCTGGGTGGACACTAACTCCCCCGAAGTCACAGTTACCCAAATACCAACTCCCAACCATACCTTGTGTTTTCATCATAAAACTTCACTTTTCTCATGACAGAAGTGTTGTACCAGTCACTGAAGATGACGAGTGAGAGCCCATTGTCCACATCCCTCCTCAGCTTGGTGATCTCCTCAGGGAAGTACTCTTCCTCACTGTCCACCATCAGCAAAGTGCCTGATGGACACAGGGTTACCATAGGAGAGCTGTCTTCTGAAAGGAGTTTCAGAACACGGACTCTCACTGGTGTCCTACCTAAGAGTCTGGTTTGTGCCACCCTGCACCACCACAGAAGGATAAAGCACACAGGATCAGGGCCCAGCAACCCACAGGGATCAGGTACCTGTGGTCTGTGGTTTTCACCGGTTCTCGAGGTAAGGGTTTTTACTGACTCAGGAAGAATGATGTATAGTGATGGGCTCTCTGAATTAAAAACGGAAAGACTGGCCAGTGGATGGCTCAGCAAGTAAAGGCACTTGCCACCAATCCTTAGGACCTAAGTTCAATCCTGGGACCCATATACCCACATGATGGAAGGAAAGAACTGACGCCTGCAAGTTGTCCTCTGACCTCCCTCCCCACACGTCATAGCTTCTTCTCTCTCTCTCTCTCTCTCTCTCTCTCTCTCTCTCTCTCTCACCTGGGGATACGCCAGGTGCCCTTTACTGGCCCATCAGTGGAAGCTGTGGCTCATTTCTGAACATGTAACACATATCTGCTATGGCCTGGACAATCTGGCCAGCCCAGCCCAGCCCAGCTGCTCACCATACTGAGTGGCATCAAAACACGTGAAGGGCGCGCCGAGGACCTCCACAAAGTAGCCCATGCTCCGCAGGTGCTGGTACATCTCCCTGAAGTTCGTGTGGATGTGATCGCCATTCCTGAAAAACGGCACCTGGCATTAAAATGACCAGTCTGCACTTGCACGCAAGGCCTGCCTAGAGTCAGGGCTACATCAGGAGCACAGAGCTGTCCCCAGATGCCCAGGAGCCAGTCCTCGGCCTTCCCAGAGCTGCACTCTCTGGACTAGACACGTTAGAGTAGGTGGTAAGAGGGAACCACGTACATGATACGCACAGATGATAAAATGACACAAGACATCAAGCCGACAGGGTCACACAGAGCCCACCACAGTGAATACAAGCTGCCACATCACCTTGGATCACCTTTTCCTCCTGAATATGCCCACTTTCCTATGCATGCTAGGTAAACTGCCTACATCCTGGCAGAAAACCCAGGGGCTCCTCTGCAGGCCCATGGCCTTGCCTGCCGACGGCTTCCCCATTCCCAATCGCCTGCCTCTGGGTCTGGACCTGCCATCTGCCTTCCAGGAAAGCCTCACTTTAAAAGGCAAGTCTGATCCTCTAAGTATCCTGGTCAAGTACTCGCTACCCTGCCCCCCTCGCCCCAGCCCCCCAGGAGCACAGACTTCACTTTACTAAGACAGAAGAAAAGCAGGCCCAGAGCAGAGCTCGTGCTTCCAAATGGCTACTCTGCTGCTATGTGGGGATGGGATTTAGGGAAGAAGATGAGCAGCACCAAGGCCTGTCGGGAGGACACAGATGCCACCCAAGCCTCAGCCGGGAGCAGAGAGAAGGCCGCATGTGGAAAGAAGGCCTGGGGACACAGCCTACCGGTGGCAGAGACAGGATCTGGTGGTTGACTCAATGGCAGAAGACAGGGAAATAAAACAAAGATGACGTCGAAGGATTTTTACTGTTGTTGAGACAGGGTCTCTGTAGCCCCAGCTGACCTAGAAACTTGCTAAGTAGACAGGCTGACCTCAATCTCAGAGATCTGTCAGTCTCTGCCTCCCGAGTGCTGGGATTAAAGGCATATACTGCCGGGCGTGGTGGTGCATGCCTTTAATCCCAGCACTTGGGAGGCAGAGGCAGGCAGATCTCTGTGAGTTCAAGGCCAGCCTGGTCTACATAGTGACTGAGTTCCAGGACAGCTGGGGCTACAGGGAGACCCTGTCTCAAAAAAACAAAACAAAAAAAAAACAAAAAAAAAACCACAAAAGCATATACTACCACACCTGGCAAGTGAGGTTTTTACTGCAGTCATTTAATTACACTTGTGGTTTAAAGCGTAACTAGGCTCCGAGCAGAGACACTAAGCCCTAGTGTCTCACCAGTCCAGTGGGTCGTTCTTCATCCGCAGGTTGTCCCTGGGAAAGTAGCCAGGTGGGTAGCGGAGGTTGTGGTACTGATCCCAGAGGACTCTTTTACTCCGAGGAGGGGTGGGAATTATCTTCACTTTAATGGGGAGCTTTACTGTTGAAGTCTGTTCTGCACCATTTTTTGACTAAAAGAGAAAACAAACAGAAACATATCCGCATGCCTATTCTGGAAAAGTCTTAAATTCAGGATCCTCCTGCCTCAACCTCCAGATGGAAGACTACAGGCATGTAGCACTACACTATGCTTAAAGGGTCGTTTCGGGACTGGAGACAGATGGCTCAGCAGTTAAGAGCACTGGCTGCTCCTGCAGAGGACCAGGGTTCAGGTCCCAGCACCCACGTGGCGGCTCACAGACAGCTCTGATTCCAGTTCAGGGGATCCGAGGCCTCTTCTGACCTATGCAGACACTGCATGCATGGGTGTGCTTACTCATGGAGGCAAAAATACTCATACACATAATTTTTTAAAAGATCCTTTCTATTTACCAATTTAACTTGCATAATTTAAAGACAAGAACGAGCAACAACATACATTCATGTGACACAACTAGTTCCACTGAATTTCAAGAGTTGAAGACTTAAAATTCACAGCATTTGTTTCTAAAAGCCATAGGGCCACCCGGCACTGAGCCTACACCTCCTGGGAGGCCTATGGCAGCACTGATTTGGCCCAGGAGGTCCTCTCTGCTACAAGCAGCAGAGCATGCAGGAGGTAGGGTTTAAACTCAGCTGCCCTAGAGGCCCTGGGCCACAGTTCATGAATGTTGTGGCGAACCCAGTCAAATGTCAGGGGTCCTAGGGACCATCAACATGGAGCCTGCCCGCCTCCCCTCCTGGCAGGGGCTGGTAAAGGTCAAGAAAAGCAAGTGCATGCTTACCTCCACCTCTTCTGGAGAAGCCACTGTGACCATGACGTGGCCTTGGGCAATGCCTTCCCAGGAAGCTGCCTTCTTGGTCACAGAAATGGAGATGGCCAGGTAGCCAGACCAAGGCCACAGCACGGAGGAGTAAGAGAAGGCCACTTCAACACTGTCTCCATTCTGTGGCAGGTAGGGCCGCCACTCAGGCTGCAGGACAGAGGAAGGTAGGCCGAAGGAAGTGAGGTGCAGGACAGAAACTTTCCTGGAGCCAAGAAGGCCTCAGTTCCCGAGACCCAAACTAGCTTCTGAGGAGTATTTCAGTACATGGGGCAAAACGGAATCTTCGAAGCACACCCTTAGGCTGGCAGCCCATGCCGTCTGGAAGGTGCCTACTAGAGAGCCTAGAAACCACTACTTTGGATGACTCCAATTTTAAGAAACTTCCCATTATACAAAAATATGGGGGACAGTCGTCAAAAGTTCTTTGTATGAGATTAGAGAGCTGACATGACACCTCAGATCTGCGCTTAGACACCAGCTTTCTGTGTGTGGGTCACAATGATGGGAGGAGTAACAGGCCAACCCAGCCCTGCAGCTTGTGAGAGCACCTGGAGAAGGCGGTGGGCTGTCTGTGGGTAGCTGCCTGAGCCGCATCACACACACACCCTGCCAAGGGTCAGAGGTGAGTGCAGTGCAGCAGGAGGCCCCCAAAGATGGCGCGGACCCAGAGCCCTGGGATTCAGCGAGAATTCACTTCACTTCTTGGTCCACAAATAGGCTGCCAAAAGGAGCCTATGCCTCTGTACCCTGCTCATGAGCCCAGTGACTGCTGACAGACTGTGTGGCGCAGACCGATCAGAAAACGACACTCTGACTAAAGGGACCCAGGGGCGGAGAAATGGGAAATACAAGGTCTGCCCCCTCCTGCATTAAACCAGCCTGCAGCACCTCACCTAGTGCTTGCTTCTACCCGACTCCCCGTGTCTGTGCGTTGACTCTGCGCCTCTTGCCCCCCCCCCAATCGGCAGGGAACCCGATCCAGGTTAGGGTCTTCACAGCTGGCCTGAGGAGAACGTGCAACACAGAGGGACACATAGAACATCTGGAAGTCACATGCATCCACTCTCAGCATCTAAACCATTTCCCTCACAAGCCACAGAACAACAGCTCCCAAGGTGACTCAGCATAGCAGAAAAACGTTCTGGGAAAGAAAACACTAGGGTACAGCACCACAAATGTGGGTTTTTTTTTTTTTTTTGGTCTTTTTGAGACAGGGTCTCCCTGTAGCCCCAGCTGTCCTGGAACTCACTATGTAGACCAGACTGGCTTTGAACTCACAGAGTTCTGCCTGCCTCTGCCTCCCGAGTGCTGGGATTAAAGGCGTGCGCCACCATGCCCAGCAAAAGATGAAAATTTAACTATATCAAAATATAAAAGTTTTACAGATGCAAAGATAAGTCACATCGAAAAACAGAAAACAATGGCCCAGGGGAACTTTCTGCAAAACAGCAATGGCTAAGTTTTCTAAGACACGAAGACCTGGGTAAGAGAAGGTGCTACCCAATGCCAGTGACAGACGTGCCAAGGAAACAAAAAGGGAACTAGTGCAGAGGGACCGTGACCGGTAGAGTGCGCAGAAGTACTCACTCCCACAGACTGCTAAGATCTGCGTTTAACAAGGCACCAGAGAAGCCAAGTAGCCACGAGTAAGACATGAAGAACAGAATGTGCAGTGTCCACACACCAGTACCTCTCAGCCACAAAGAGGAGTGAAGGGCTGACACTCCCTAACGAGCCGCGACAGTGTCTTCGGTAAGAGGACACACGACACGCACCAAGTCTGTTGGCGTGAGCTGTCAGAACACTGCTGTGTGAGGACACTACAAACTACTGCAATGCACAATTTTAAAAAGGCGAATTTTATGGTATGGAAATTATAAAAATGAAAAGCTGCAGTGCTCAGTGCAGGCTTGTAGGGACTTCTCCCTCAACAGCCTCAGCAGCAGTCTGTCCACCTGATATAACGCTCCTGGAGGGTGCGGTTACATGCTGACACTGCAGCAAGGTCCACACCCCAATCCAGGGTTCTAATCTAGGGAGCACATGCTGAGAAACAGTTCACAAGAAAAGAGCCCCAGGTGTAGAGATGGACAGCACAGGGCTCACTGCCAAAAGTCACATAACCATTCAAGCAACGGCAAATAGTAAACATTTCAATCTGACACCCCACCATCACACTGGACAACCACTGACGTACACAGTACATTTCATATGAACTGAAAAAGGATGTATTCTCATTCAGGTCTAGCAAAGAGTATGTTCGAAACAGTAGCTGTTAGCATGCTAGGGCCAGAGCTGAATGTTCCATGCTTTTCCCTAACCCTAATCACTGTGATGGCCACAGAGTAAGTAGTCAGAAAATTACAGAAGTAAAATTTAAAACAAGGACGATACCTTCTAAACACAAAGCCCATTCGTGTTCATTAAAGAATAAAATAATTGTAGCTGGGCCCCATTACAGACAGCAAACTACATGAAAGAATCCAACATCATTTGTTTCCAGGAGCCAACACCACAAAGTGACCTCAGTCTCCTTGACGCAGGTCCGGTCCTTTCTGTCCAGGACTGGGAATGCTAAGCTGCTCCCACAACGGCTCTGCAGCTTCAGCGGCGAGAGAGCGGCGCTCTCTTCTTCAGGGGGATAACTGAGGTACAAAGGTTGGGGCCACATCTCAGTGACCACAGAGAGGGAAGCCTCACCTTATCCACAATTCTTCCTGTGACCCCCATGCCATTGAGAATGGTGACATTGACGACTGTGGGCATCCCTCCGTAGTAGATGGGCTGGGAGCAGTAGGGCCACATGTACGGACACTCGGTCAGGTCGATGTAGCTGGGGCTCAAGCTGAGAATGGAAGAGACTGTTAGAGTAAACCACATCAGAGCGGGACAGGGAAGGGGAGGAGGCAGCAAGCAGGGAGCGAGCTGCACCCGAAGATCCAGCTTGGCTTGCAGGGCTGCCCAGCCTGGCACACGGAGTATGGCCGTAAAAGGCTCTGTGCTAAGCCGCTGAGCCGCCTAGACTGTCAGAACCAACAAAGTGTGCAGTGCAGGAAACACCCCTGGCCTCTGCAGGACCTTTGGGAGCTGCTTCAACTGGCGGAGGAGGAAACCTTGGTCTCTAGTCACAGGGGCTTTCTTGGGCAGAAGCACATCCAGGTATGGGGCAGTCTGCTGCTGGGTCAAGAGGCCGGTCTCATGAAACCCGGCCTGGGCTGTGTGGGAGGGAGGAAGCAACAGGAAGCTTAAGCCTGGGTTTTTCCAGGCTCGCTGCCCCTCATTGCTTTCCAAGCCTACAGCTCTGGATCCCTCTGTACCCCTGCAATGCTCCGATCACCAGACACACTGTACCTAGCTGACACCCATGAAACATTCTGGCAGGATGCTGAGCCTACAGAGGTCCCGGGGCCTGGTTGGCCGGAACAGCAGTGCTGCCACAGGGAACCTGCACTTTCTCTCCCTCGTCCTCAGAGACACAACTGGGCTAACACTCTTCCCAGCACAGCACTGGTGTTATCTCCGTGCAAGTGAGGAGGCAGGCAAATGCGTAGGAGGCGAACGTAGAGACAGGACAGGCCAAGACCTGTGTGCAGCGGGCTTTGCCTCACTCAGGAGGGCTCCACCCGGAACACCAACTACAGAACAGAACTCTGGATAGTTCTTTACGACAGAGGTTTATGTAGACTAACTGAACTACTGCATAAAACCTAATCAGGATCTTTGTAGGTATGTGTAATCATACGTGCACGTGCAAGTATAGGCATGTCCACATAGAGGTCAGAGGTCAACCTCAGATATTGCTCCTCAGACTGCCCATCTGCCTGGTTTTAGAGGAAGACCTCTCACTGGGACTTGGGTCTTACTGATTCGGCTACATTGGATGGCCAGCAAACTCCAGGAGCCTGGCTGACTCCACCTCCACAGCACTGGGATTACCAGCATGGGCCAGGCCACTATGCCCAGTTTTTTTTTTTTTTTTTTTTTTTTTTTTTGTCTTTTTGAGACAGGGTCTCCCTTTAGCCCCGGCTGTCCTGGAACTCACTATGTAGACCAGGCTGGCCTTGAACTCACAGAGATCCGCCTGCCTCTGCCTCCCGAGTGCTGGGACTAAAGATGTGTGCCACCACACCCAGCAGTCACATACTTTTTTAAAAAACAAAAACAAACAAGCAACACTCCTCTAACACTCCTCCTCAGTTAGTTCAAACTTGATGTAATCCAATAAAAATGCCAACAAGCTTCTTTTACGGATGAAGCAAGTCACTACGAAGAGCCGCATGAAGAAACGAGGAGACAAGCAGGAAGAACCAGCCCCTACTGCATAGCACACACAACTCAGAGCTTGACTGCAGGACAGTGTGGCCCTCGGACAGAGCAGGGGCTGTACAGACAGAGGAAGGTTGGCAACAAAGGTGGCAGGACCAGAATGCTCCCTGAGAGACTGACCCAGAACAAGGACTTTCGAGGGCCAGTGGCTGGGCTACAGGCCGGTCTGCTGTGCCGTCTCAGTCATTACAGTCTGAGGAGCTCGTGCTGGGGGGCGGTTAAGATATCAACATTAGGGAATGCTGGGAGAAGGATGTCTATTTTTTTTGGCACTATTCATGAAACTGAGGCATAAATCTAAAATCATCTCAAAATAAAAGATAAACAGGTGTGGTGGCACACGCCTTTAATCACAGCAGTTCAAGGCAAGTTGGGGTTACAGGTAGACCTGCTCTCAAAAGCACAAACCAAACCAACGAACAAAATAAAAGGTAAAAGAAAAAAGTTGTGGTGAAAAAGTACACAGACCAATCACGGATAAACAGCAGACAAGCCCTCGCGGGGCCAGTCCGCACCAAGTGACTGGTTCCCTCCTCCAGGAGCCAAAGCAAGAGCAGTAATAGACAGACACACTGTCAGGGCCAGAGGACACCGAGTCCACAAAGCGCAATGAGGGGCTGGAACCCAGAAGGGACAGAAGCACCAGGAAGTCTGAGTGGCTGCAGAGGCCTCAGCTACAGAGCTAGTGTGCTGGTGGCTTTCGACAGCTGCAGGGCAGATAAGCCATCGTCCCTCAGCAGGGGAAGCTATACAGACAGTGCAGAGAAACTCCATTTTTGTAAAATTTCTGTAAACCTAACACTATCTTAAGGTTGAGGTTACAGAAATGGAAATCCTTGTTTCTTGCTACATCCATGAAAGGTAGCACGTCAGTCAGTCAAGAGAAGCCAAGTCTGTCCCGTCCCCGTCCCGTGTTGTGCAGCAATGGCCTAGTGGCACAACTGGGCATCCGGTGCCATGCGGCCAGCAGCAAGATAGCAATGTGGGCAAGGGGCACCGGAGGCCCAGGGAGAAGGCCTGCCAGGGAGGCCAGCACACACACTAACCTTGCCTGTGGCTTGTAGCTGTTGAGGATCTGGTAGGCCCTCAGCAGGTCCAGTTTGCCATGGCCTTGCTCGAACATGTTGACACCAGGAAGCCTCCGGGCCGATGCGATCAGGGCCTGCTTCATGCTGGCAGGGTTTACCAGCTCACGGTTCTGGACTGTGCTGGGGAGGAAATCAAGTCTCTGCTCACTTTTCTCTCAGTATAAGAGTGAAACCTGACCACCCTCGATCTGCAGAAGTGCCAACATGTGGCCTGCAGTCTGTTCCCCACCTGGCAAGACTCTGGGTCTAATGGAGCATGAGGTGAGAGCGCCAGGTACTCACTTGGGTGCTCGCGCCAGGCCTGACCACCTGGAGACCTTCCACACAGCTGTCTCAGCTGACTTTGAAGGCTCGTGCCTAGTCATACAAACCATGAACAGTGCAGTCTCTGACAAGCTGAATAAATGGCTGTGCAGGTCGCAGAAGACCGAACATCAAAGACTCAAGGTCCCCACGGAAGGTACCTCTTGAGATTGAAAGGAACAAGGAAGAGTGCTGGAAAGGGACCCAACGCAGGGTGGGCATGAGGCACAGAGCAAGGAGAGACCACTGCCTCCAGAGCCGTCCCTTGACTCGAGTGGGGATTTGCAGGCCTGAGGCATGAGCCTGGTAGGTGCAGACCGGGGCCGCCGTGAACATCCCATCACAGACTGCGTCTCAACACACGAACGCACAACTCTGTCTGGTCAGAACTCAGACAGTTACGACTCTGAGGGGCTCATGCTGTGGTGCCTGGACTGAGAGGAGTCAGCAGTCAAAGGGGGAAATTTAGCCTCCTGCTTAGGCTCCTAAATATTTTATACATGATGGAGGTTGGTCTCAGCTGAGGCAGGCTTCTTAAATGGCAATCTGACAGGGAGGAGGCAGAGGGACTGATGCTCAATGGCAGAACGAAAGCACTGCTAGCTGCTGTGGCCAGCGCTCAGATCTACTTTCTCATTGTGCGGCACCTGCCACAGGCCAGTGTCAAGCCACGAAGATTTCTAAACCACCACAATGGCCTTTCTATCTGGAGTAGGAGATGAAGAAAGGCTTCCTTGATGCTATAATTGCCTGTGTGGAGAGCTGCCCCCAGGAATGGCAACCACAGCCTTCCCGCCTCCCCACGCATTTGGCAGCAGACCGATGACGGGCTCTGACGAGAAGTGGAAGCTGGGATTCCACTAACATCCATTCCGTGGGCAAAAACAAATGAGTTTTCTGTTTCTAGAATCCATAGCACTAGAAACAGGAGCCCTCAAAGGATCCTGTGCTTGGCAGATGGATACAAAAGCGTGAAGGAAGCCGGCTGTGGTGGCGCACGCCTGTAGTCCCAGCACTTGGGAGGCAGAGGCAGGCAGATCTCTGTGAGTTCCAGGCCAGCCTGGTCTACATAGTGAGTTCCAGGACAGCTGGGGCTATAGGGAGACCCTGCTTCAAAAAGACAGAAAAAAAGAAAGTACGAGGAGCCAGGCAGCCGGGAGCTGCCTTACCCCTCCTCGTTCCACCTTATGCAGCAGAAGGAGAAGGGGCAGTGCTTCCCTCAGGCTCCTTTCTGGGCAGTGTCAGCATTTTCAAGAACCTGGTTCTCCAGCTCGCCTTTGGACCCAGCACTCTAGGGAGGCAGAGGCAGGCAGATCTCTATGACTTCAAGGCCAGCCTGGTCTCCATAGCGAATCCAAGTCTGGGAAGGCAGAGGAAGATGGCTACGTTGACCAAGCGTTACTAAGGAGATGCTCTCTAGCATGAGAAAATCAGTTAACGTTAAGATAAGCACAGAATATAAACGTCCAACATGCTGAGCTTTCATTACGACAGCAGAGCAGCTCAACAAGGACCTCAACTACCAAGCAAGGAAAGACTTGTTTCAGGGCTGATACAGTGCTTCAGAGACAGAACTGAGGGAAGGCAGAGCGGTAGTCTGACTACAGTTCTGTCCTACCACATTCCAGAACCTTCTTATTTCATTGTCTGCCCGAGGAAGGGTCAGGACTAAACCCATTCCAACTACACATGAGAGTCTAGAGGACGAAATGAACGCAGAGAGAAACATGTCCATCACCAAGGAAGTGGCTGTCTGCCCGGCCCTAAGTGGCCTGACATCGCCTTAGCTAAGAGAACACTGAGGACAGATGCGGCCAGAGACGAGACCTGAGGAGATGACTGCTTAACTGCTTCACAGCAGAAACTATTCACCGTGCCCCAGGATAACTTGTTGCATGCATTACCTTTCACAGAAAATTTATTTAATAAGAAAAAAACATGCATCACCAAGGAAATGGAGGGGAGAGCAAGATGGCATACTTTGTGCCCCTAGCCTGACACACCCTTGTTGGGCGACCAGAGCGCAGCTCAGCACATAAACACGTCAGCTACAGAACCATGGAGGAACCACCATGCACCGCCAGGGCCTTCCAGCTTCGCCCAGCTTACAGCCGGCACAAAGACCACCCAACCCAACCAAGGCCCCTGCCTCTTGTCAGGGAAGAAGGAACAGGGCCAGGGCATGGCAGCGGGCCAGTACTCACCTCACTAGCAGGGTGACAGCCCCAGCGACCACTGGAGAAGCAACACTGGTCCCTGAGAGTGCCCGGCAGCCTCCTTTCACACCAGAACCCCGCACTCCGGCACCGTAGGTGACAATGTCTGGTTTCACGCGACCATAACCTCCCGGTAGTTCCTATGAACAAGGGTAGCTTCGTTCCTCATCACACACGTGACCCAGAGCCATGGAGGGTTATGTGTGAATAGAACCAGAACACAATTGGACAATGTCATCTGAGAAGAGGCTGGTTTGAGTTACACTGCCAGTCAAAGACAAGCCTCAGTGCTGACATAGAAAATAAACACGTGTATTTTGTAATAATCACTAAAACAGCAAAGCCAAGAGCAGTAAAAATAATTGTGCCAACATTTTAATAGCTGCTGAGACCAGGAATTAGTCACTGACTTATCACTAATGGTACAGACAGGAAACTGCTTTATTTCTGTTAATCTAAAAATAAGAAGTGCATTAGAAGAATTAGAAAATTGAAATTGAAAACTTGAAAAATAGCTCTTTATGTGGAAAAAGCACACGGCCATGACTGGCCATTTCAAACAAGAGTAAGAACCACTGAGGAGGATCTGGACACTGTACATGGGACTCCTGTACATCACCCTGCAGCTTCCTAAAAACCAGGCCTCAATGAGAATACTAGACCTAAGTGTTCTTCCTTCCTTCATTACTCTCCTCCTCTTTGCCTCTCTAGACAAGGTCCTGCTAGGTAGCCCAGGCTGGCCTTGAACTTTTTTGTGACCCCCCCCACCAGACTCCTTAGTGCTCAAATTACAAGCACATGCCACCACGCCTAGCCAGGATCTTTTATGTTCTGTTAAGAACCGGTACGCTAATTTGAAATGAAAACCCTTTCCTGGCAATCAGTCGTAAAAGCAGCACAGAAGCATTCGTCTGGGCACCAGGTGAAGACTGTTGGCCACAGCTCCGTAGAAGATTCAGAAACATTTCTCGATGCCACTGAAAAACAAACCCTTGAGAAAGGTCAAGGACATGGCATCGCGTTGCCAGTGGGGTGAAGGTGCGTACAACCGGGAGCTGCACACTGGTGCTGACAGGTGGCACTGCCTGCTACTGACAGCAAAAAGGGCATGTTGGGAGCAAAGAGGACACGCACCACGGTGCACGCCAGAGTAGGTCTATAGGACCCATGGTGTCAGGAAAATGGACCAGCTTGAGCAGATGGCATTCTGTGAGAGAGGCATGGGGCCCTGGCAGCTGAGCAGGGATACTGTGAGCCCTCACTGTGGAGTTGATGCTGGCGTGGAAGGCTAGGCCCCAAGTGCTGCAGGAGCGGACAACGCCCAAGTGTCTCCAGGAAGTTGTGAATCTTTCTGGGTCTTTCTTGACAGCCCTCAGAGCTCAGCAAATGGTCAACCTAGAGCACCAAGAGATAACCTGACCCTGAAGAACACTAGGGGTAAGAGCTCCCCAGTCACCTCTCCAAGATTAAAGGACGGAGTGCTGCTCAGCAGGAGCATCTAATTTTGAGTCAAACTTTGTCTTGGGGAAAAGAGTTGGCTACATAATCAAACCCCAAGCAGCTGAAATACTAACTAGATGCAACCATATTCATTTTATCAAACTAAACGTGATTGCTTCCGAGTTAACAGAGCTGACATTTTTCTCTTCGGTACTAGGGATGGAACCCAGGGCTTGGTACATGCCAGGCAAGTACCCTGCCACTGAGCTAAACCACCAGTCTGGAGTTTCACTTCTTAAGGTCCAAAGTAAATCTCAGCTTGCATTGAGTTACCATCTCCCTTCCAGTTAGGACAAGAGAGCGTGAGCCCATCTCACCCACAAGAGCTGCTGGAAGCACTTAAAAGGAAATGGACCTGGAAACCCCTCAGAACCCACCCATGATCTTCACGGCAGCTCAACCCGCTGAACTACGGTGGCCAGCACCAAAGCAGCCTGATCTCTTGTCCTCACGGGGGCACACTTCCGTAGCCCTGGCTCTTTTTCCACCTGTGCACTGACAAATACATGTCAGGGCTCTTAGACCAAGGGCTCCGTGAGTCACATTAGCTAAAATAGAAAAGCATACCCAGGTAGTCATTCCCCTGGAAGAAAAGCGGGCGATGTTATCTTCAAAGTCAATGCCACCCACTCCAATCACATCCATCTGATCAGCAGGGTTATTCAGAGTGCTAAATTGAAACACACAAAAGAAAAAAAAAAAAAAGGGAAGAGAAATAATAACAAGGACACTATTCCTTTTAGAAGTTTTCTGTCTGGGGAGTGAAGCCCAGCACTTCAAATGTCTCTCCTTGAATGGAGGGAGGCTGGAGGGAAGGGAAGGTGATTAGGCGGTCACTCCTGCAACCTATGAAACTTCTCAAACTTTCCTGCTATGGAATAGAAACAGCCAAGTGAGAATGTAAGCAGTACTCATATTTGGGTCAGAATAAGATTTTGAAGGGGAAAAAAAAGGCATATATAAATATTTGAATGAATGAAAATCTGCCAGTGTTTAGGATTAAGTAGGGTACAGTAGGGTATCGTATTATTATTTCTATCTCAATTTTTGCTTTGCCCCTCTCTGAAACAAAAACCCAAAGCATAAACATTTTCCTGAAACTCTGTATCACTTGATTATTAATTTTACTTCCATGTAAAAGCTGCTTGGGAAAGGCTGGAAAAGTTAAGTGGCAGAGTGAGTGTTTAGCATGTGTGAGGCCCTGGGTTCACCATCCAGCACTGAAGTGAAAAACAAAAATAAATAGAAATTGGCAAGAGAGGTTATATAGCTCTAGTGAAATAAAATATGCTTTTACATTAGAAGGAAAATAAAAGGTGATAACTCAGCTCACTGAACTAAAATCAAGAATAGAATGCCCTAAGCCCGCTAGGTCTAGAAGACCTGAGGGAGCCTTCCTGTGTGTTGTAGTCAGTCACGGCTGAAATCCTAGACTTGAAGGTCATTTCTACATTTTGTCTTCTAATCACAAAATGAAAGCCAGAGGAAAAGCTTGCAATGAATTTTTCCCCCTTTTAAGTCAGGTTTAATAAGTAGCATTTTCTTTTCTTTTTCTTTTTCTTTTTTTTTTATAGAAGGAAGTGTTTATTTGTGCTTAAAGTTCCAAAGGGGCAAGAGTCCATCATGGCGGGGAGGCATGGTGGCAGAGGTGGCTGGAGGAGGAGCAGAAGCTAAACTCTCACATCTTTAAGCAGGCACAGGAAGCAAGAGAGAAAATGAAGATCAGGCAAGGCTTAAGAACTCTCTAAGCCCACCCCCAGTGACATGCCTTCTCCAGGATAGTCACAACTTGTAAGACCTCTGCAATATAGTGCCACCAACTGGGGACAAAATGTCCAAATACTTGGAACCTATGGGGGACATTGTTCAAACCATCACAGGTACTTAAAAAAAATTA